TCATCATATGTTACAAAAACTTAGAGATGTAAGATTATATGTCAAGTTAGAAAAGTGTGTATTCTACACTATTATTTTCAATGAAAGACTAATGATGGATCCAAAGAAGGTTTAGACTATCATAAACTAGAAGATTCTTAGAATATTAAAAAATATACAATACTTTTTGAACTTTGCCAATTACTATTGGATCTTCATCAAGTATTTTTTTCAAGTTATAAGTCTACTTATATATTTGACTTGTAAAGACAAATTTAAATGGAACAAAGAAATAGAAGTATTTTTTGATGCTTTAAAAAATGAATTTATATTTGCACCAATCTTATATTGTGTCAAATTTTTCAAGGCATTTTTCATGGAAATAGATGCATCAAACTTTGTCTTGAGTATAATATTATCACAAATAGGATTAAATGACTAACTCCATCTAGTAGCTTTCTATTCCAAAAAATTTTTAGTAGCCAAGATTAATTATGACATCGATGACAAAGAGCTCCTTGCAATAAAAGATTCATTTCAAGAATGATGTTATTATTTGGAAGAGGCCTTAAGTCTAATTACCATATATATAAATTATAAGAACCTTGAATATTTTATGTTGGCATGTGTTTTGAATCATTGCTAAGCTTATTAGAACATGTCTTTATTGAGATTTGATTTCATGATCACTTATTGACCTAAAAAATAATAAAGTTTATCAAATACTCTTTCTAAACATTCTTATCTTACACCAAAAGAAAGAGATGCATCTTTTGATCAACAAAGAATGATTTTTTTAAACTCAGAGCATTTCTACCTTCAAGCAATAAAATCAATATTGATTGTTGATTCAACTTTTGTCAAGAAAGTTCAATTAAATATGTCTTCTAATCCTCTTCTCTATGATATCAAGTATAATTCTTCTAAGTTTCATGATACTTCTAAGTTCAAGTTCAAGAACAACCTACTCTATTTTGAAAGATGATTATACATTCCATAAGGTCGGGCATGATTACATGTTCTTCAAACTTGTCATGACTTTCTAGAATTCGGACATTTTGGATACAATAAGACTTTGGAACTAATATCAAGAGATTTTTGGTGGCCTCAAATGTGAAAGGCACTCAAAGCCTTTGCACAATCATGTGATATTTGTTTAACATCCAAAATTCCTTGCTATTGATCTTATGGACTTCTTAAGCCATTACTTATTTGAGAACAACTGTGGTCTTTTGTTTCTATGGATTTTATGATAGATCTTCCAATTTTAGGTTTGTATAATTCTATATTCATGCTAGTAGATTGTTTTACCAAGTTGGCACATTTTCTACCATGTACAAAATCTATCAGAAATAAAAAATAGCTAAGTTTTTTCTTAACAACATCTATTGCTATCAAAGATTGCCTAAAATATTATATTAGATAAAGAAATACAATTTATATCAAGATTTTGAAGGACTCTTTTCAAGATTTTAAAGATGGATATAAAACTCTCTTTGGCTTTTCATCTTTAAACTGGTCTGTAAATAGAAGGGATGAATCAAGTTTTGGAGTAGTACTTAAGGTATACCATCAACTATCATCAAGATGATTGGACAACTCTTTTATCATTGGCAGAGTTTGTGTATAATAATTATATATATTTTTTCATTTAACAAATATATTTTTTTTGCCAATTATGGTATCATCTATAATTTGATACTTTTGACTTTTCAAAAGTTGATAATATTCTTGCAAGAGATTTGAAAAATCATTTACTAGAGCTATATGCAACAATAAAGGCATATTTCAAGGGAGCTCAAGAATGACAAAAGATTGATGTAGATGCCTATCACAAGGAACAACCATAATTTAATATGAATGATAAAATATGGTTACTTCATTGTAATATTAAGATTATTCATCCTTATAACAAGTTGGACTATTGTAGGCTTAGACCTTTTCTTATTAGTAATCAAGTCAATTCTATTGCTTATTGATTATATCTATTAAAGTCTATAAAGATCCACCTCATATTTCATGTATCTCTTCTTGAATTATATAAGATAGTGAATATCTCAAGAAGAAGACAAATGCCACCTACTATAGAAGTGGATAATAATCAAAAATTCAAGGTGAAAGAAGTCTTAGATTTAAGGTAGTGCTGAAATAGGTTAAAATATCTTGTTCATTGGCATAGATATGAAATTAGTAAATGTATATGGAAGCCAACAAAGAATCTTGTAAATGCAAGAAAGAGAATTGAAACTTTTCATTAATGACATCTATCAAAATCAAGATGAAGAATAGGAAATCTTTGCTATAAAAGAAACAAGATCCAAAGAAGATAATTCTCTACTTTCTATCCTTCTTTATAGCTTCTTTATATTTGTAATATTAAAGAAATGGAGAACCAATAATCAATAGATTCAACTAAAGAGCTTTTACTTGTTGACTAATTAGATAAGATATTGTGATTCTCTCAACTTTCAAGATGATGTAATTAAGATGAAGATCTTCAAAAATGATATGTCAAAAATGACAAGTTGGAAGTATTATCTTATCAAATTAGAATCTAAGATTTCAAATCTAGATAAATATAAACTAGTGAATATTTTTTTATTTTTAATGAATTATATATATTTGAACTATTGCTATAATATTTGAAGCATGATGCACTTCAAATATATGGATAATAGATTAATGGGCACTTATTTCAATTGAAAGAGATGAAATACTATTAAAATGATAAAATAGAGCTTATCTCTACTTTCAAAAAGATTGTTGTTTGTAGTTTAATTTCTATGGTGAAGTATAGAAGTTTATTAAAAGAAGGAGATGAAACATTCTTTGAAGATTTTAAAAGAAAGGTTATAGCATTAGAAGTGCTCTTAGATAGCAGTACTCCATCCATCTTATTACAAATGACTTAAGCTATAAAGACTGGTTTGTCTTCAATAAAAGGGCTACCATCTTTAAAGCCACTTCAAATATTCATTAGATATTTAGAGATCAAGTATAAAATATTTATATGTGATCAAATGCAATACATTTAATATTTTTGATGTAAAAAAGAAGAAAAATCTTATATTATATATATCCATTTGGCACAATTTATAATCAATTTAAAAAATATATTTGTTGAAAGTCAACTTATCAAGATCTTTTTATCAAAGATTGACAAGCTATTTTTAGAATTTATTAAATAAATTTTTTATTCTTAACTATGATAGCAAGATAATACTAGCACAAGCATTTGGTAAAGTTGAGAAGTGTGATATAGCTCTTTGTTAATATGATACCATTTATATGATTGTTTGAATTACATATATTTTTAGGCCCTAAAAGGTTGTTATAGCCACAAGCAAATTAATAAAAAAAATTAGCCTCATATGACTATGCTTTATTAAAAATATGGTGAATTTGGCTAAACCAAGAATAATTCTATTTTTTTTTAAAAAAAAAACTCAAAACTCAAAGAAGCCTAAGCAAAAAATAAAAGATGCTAAGATAGAGAAGAAACCTAAAAAGAAGTAATTGAAGTGTATTCATTGTAGTAAATTAAACTATAATAAGGATCATTGATTTATTTTATATTCAAATAAGTATCTTACTTTAAATAAGAAAAAAAGCTTAAAAACCAAGATTGCAAAGCTAGAGGAGAAGTTTACTAGTATGGCTTTATTAGGCCAAGTTAGTAGGTCTCATCTGACATGTTATATTGGAGAAAGTTTTTCTATAATAAATATTTATATATTTAGTACATCATGATAGATGGTAGTTACAATTGCTATATATGCCTAAATAATAGCAAAGACTATGACACTTACTACATGTGAGGTACTAGAAAGCTTACATGGTTGTTATAGTAGTCATATAAATCCTATTATTTAGCTTTGGTTGCCATTATTAATTGACCTTATAGATGTTGGTTTTGCAATATAAAAAAATATATTTGCTATTATATTGACTGCATATTAGATGATAGTTTTTGATACTTGATTTATTTATGTACGATAATTTTTATTTACACTATAACATATATTAACTAATAAAGTCTTGTAAAATCTTCTTAAGGATCACAAGGCTAGTAGCCCAAATATTAAGTTGTAGATTGCTTCTAATGCAATTTTATAAAAATAAAAAGCTTGTAAGATAAGTTTAAATATCTACATAGTGCATATATATATATATATATATATATATATATAATCTATATCTACGGACTTTTTTAAAGTTTCTTAATTTTTTTTTTATCTTCCTAAGATATTTCTACTCACTTCTATTAGCTTTTGTTTAAATAAATAATATGAAAATTTATTAGAATATCTTAATATATTTACATAATATATGTATATATTTTTTGAATATTAATATTTAATATTTTTTATATTTTATTATAATTTTTTATATTATAAATATATATTTATTAAATTTATATATTATTTATCTTATATTTCTAAATCCTCAAAGTATAAAAAATGCAAGTATATTTATATAATAGGTCAAACATGCTTAAAAAGAATAAAAATCTATTATTAATAATCAGTAAAAATTATTTAATATTTTAAATAACTATAAATAGTAATTGATATTTTAAAAGTAATTCTAAGATGTAATAAATTCTTGATTATTATAATACCTAACATTTTAAGACATTCACAATTATTTTAGTTCTTTGATTATATTTATATGTGCTATTTAAACTTTTGCATAAAACTTAATACAATTTTTTAAAAAAATCAATATCTAGTTTTAAATTTTTTATAAAATAGGTAGATTTTTTTCTTTTTCTTTTTATTTTTTTAATTTTATAAAACTCGATATCCATTATTCAATGCAAAATCTATATTTTTTAATTTTTTAATTTAATTAATTAATTAATTAATTAATTAATTAGATAATTAGTTAACCAAGCAAGCAAGCAAGCAATGCTCACCCTCTTCCCCACAAGGCAGCCATCAAGATGCCAAGGGATGGATGCTCTGGAGAGTGCTTGGGACACACTAGGCACCAAAGGATGCTATTCATTCCAGGCCCTCCTTCCAATCTTATCGCCATCCTGCTTACCCATGGCTTCCTCAATCCACCGCCAGTCCTCACAATTCCATCCTCTCCATCTCTCACTCCTTTCCAATATTTCTGCTGCTTTGCCGGGTCTCGCTTCTTCGCAAGAACTGTGTCTTCAGCAATATGAAGGTGAGGACTTTGGAATCTGGCCTAATTCCTTGTTTTTCCTTCAAAGGAGATCAAAATGGTTGAGAATGATGCATGCAGCATGAAGAGCACTAAGTATTTTGCACCGTGCGTTGCAGGATGATGACTGTGCACCGGAGAAGAAAGGCATCACGGTATGAAAACCTCAAAACGAATGGTCTCACTCTCACACAGGCTAACTCCATATTCATTTCCAAACAGATCCAATGACATTGCATTTCTTCATTTTTAAGTAATAAAGCTTCCGAAGAAACTATGAAGCATGGGGTGCAGGATAAGTCCAAACTTGACACAGCACTTGAACAAGCAATTTGCAATGCAAGTGTGCAGGCGGATGATCTAAAGACTGCTCCGATGGATTGGCGCTTCCCCGCTACCAATCAAGCCAAACACTGTTACTACAGCTACAACGAATTCCACAAGTACCCACCTCCTTTACTTCAACGGTTCATTCCCTAGACAGGATGTACGAAGAGGAAGAGCTTCATTGTGAGTTGCAGTGCTAGCGCACTGAAAAGAGCAACCTGGACAGAATGGGATTGGTGGGTGCCCCTGCAGCAACGATGCTGAATGAGGGAAGTTGAATTGATTTTGTGCAGATGTGCAGCAGAGAAGGGAGAACATGACAAGGATTGCCGGAAGTATGCCCGCTACTACCGCTCTTTGTGCCCTGGACATTGGGTACAATGACCGTCCCTCCCCATCTCTTTCTCCTGGTTTCGCAACAGATGCTTCAGAAACACAACCCCAGCGTCCATGATCTAGAATTCCACTCATGGCTCACACTCCGGTATGAGTTCCTTCCAACTCGGGACATCGCCACTGCAATTCTGACTTTCGTTGCTGCTCAGAATCAGGAGCAGTTTCATGTTGGGGGCCTCTCTCCACTCCGATTCAGATTGATTTCTTCATTTCCTCAATAGTTTCCATATTTATGGTTTGAACATTATTTGTTGTCTTTCTTATTGCTCTTTCTTTCATTCTTTCCCTTTCTAGTTATCCGTTGAGTTATCTCTCTTTCACTGTGTGTAAATTTTTCTTAAGTAGTGCATAGTTGATGAGAGGCTTAAATTCTTGATTCAAATCAAAACTCTTGCATTCTAACAAAGTTGAAAGCATTCTGTTGACACAAAACTAAAGTAGCATGCTGTTGACATTTAGACTTATCTTTTGTAATTGCAGATTGAAAAATGGAATGAAGAAAGGGCTAATGGTACATTTCCAGGACGATATTGAGATTATTTTGTGTTTGATTTTAAATTTTGTTTAATTTCAATTAAATGAGTTGTAAAAGGCCTCATTAATCATTATAATGGACATTGAAATGTATTTCTTACTTAAAAGATGTATTTCACAATTTTCATTTGACTCACATGTTCTATCAATCATTCAGTACATGGGTTAATTTTTTTTACTTTTTATTTTGAAATATTTAGTTGGATCATTCTTTTACACAAAAAAATTCAATGACTTTTTTTCTTTTTATAGCTGTGTATATACACATATATGTATGTGATATATGTATACATATATACATAAAAAAAATATCTTTTGAAAAATTTAAATATGATCGATCCTATCTTCAAAGGTTTTATGAAATTAAAATACAAAATAATTTATTACAGAATATAATTCTTCTTTCTTTTAAAGTTATAAATTTTTGTTACTTTTAGATCTGATTCTCTCATATGTAAAACACAGTAAATTAGAGTAAAAAAACGTTCTTTTTCCTTGTATTTTTATCACATTATCATTTATTAAATATGTAAATATATGCAGTCTAGGAAAAATACATTGTAAAAAATGTTAGAAAAATGATTGCTTCTTGAAATTTGATAATAAAGATCTGAATTTTTTAATTGCTTATACTCTTGCTTCTTTAACATAAAAATATTCGCACTCACTAAATATTAACTGCAAAAACATTTTATATCAAAAATTTAATTTAAAACAGAATTACAGCCATGATTTAATTATTAAAAATAATTAAATATATTTAATTTCTAAAGTTTTATCATTTTTTTGAAAGTAGAGCAATTTTGAGGACAAAGAATTATATTTTTGATTGATTGGTTTCTTCATAATTTACATTTAAAATGAAATATATTTGTCATTTGATATAGAAGTATATAAAACTAGATGTAAAGTTCTTGTTATATTAGATTTTAATAATTTTTATTATTATCTTCATCTTTACCAATAATAATTTTTAAAAATAAATTCTTTATTTTGGTGTATATATATATATTAAAATAATTTAAAAGCTACAAAAATAACAATAAACTTTAAAATATTTTGTAAATAGATTTCATAAATAGGATATTTTTAATGCCACCACATTTTTTGTTATTGCCATTACAACTTGCCATCTACCACATATTATTATAGTTTTTGCTAATGCCACCACAAGTTCTCCTAACCTTATATTGCACACCACAATGGACTGTATGAAACACTGTTAATGTACATTACAATGGATAAAGTGCAATATATATATATATATATATATATATATTTAGTGATCCATAAAATATTTTGCAATGTGCAACACAAATTTATGGCACCTTGTGGTGTCATTAGCAAAAAATGTGATAACATATGGTGAATGGCAAGTTGTGGTAATAGGAAAAACTATGGTGTTATTAACACCTTACAAATATAAAACATTGTTTGTTAGATTTTTTGAATATTAAAGTCCCTAAAACTAACACTACTATATCCACCACCACCTAAAATTTCAATATTGGCCTAGAAATAACACCACTATACCCACCACTAACTAGAATATTTACTATGCACTTCTATTTTACCTTATAGATTGTAGAAAATATGCAAAGAAAAATTCATATACAAGGGAAGACTTCATTAACAAAAGGCGCGAGTCCTGCCCCATCTCTTGATTTCTCAAACGCGGACCCGTTTCGAGACCGGTTTTCATCACTAACACACAGTGATGGGATCGACAGTGCAATCAAGTGTTATGATTAAGAATTAATACGCTTAGAGAGCTAGGGTGATAATTGCAGTGCTGTATTACTTGCAACTCTTCCACCAATTCTCTTAATTAGTATAAGTTATGTCAATGTGATCGCAGCACTGGAGTTATTTTGCCTCAGGAGATCATACAAGTGGAGACCTTTGAAGGAAGCGGCAGGTCTGCAAGTTGCTCAGGAAGCAAACACAGTTCTTTCAGCTTCATTTTTTTTTTCAAACAAGCATTGTATTGTTAGGCTAGACCTGAGATTTGGAGCTTGCCCCAGAGCCGGCCTTCTCGCAGTCGACGCAATCCGTCAACGCAATTATGTTACGAAAATTCTTCTGCAACTGTTGCTTCAAATCATCGGCATCTGGTCCTCGCCACATTTTGGCCTCATCGAAAGAGATGGGACACGCAATGGGGAGTCGCTCGCTGCCAACTAATGCTACCATCAACTTGTGAGTATGATGATCTTTGGCGTCGTTGCTGGTAGAGTACTTAGCTTCGGACAAGTATTTCTCGGCCTTCAGCAGGTCTCTCAAAACGAAGAGGTACGTGGAGTAGAGGTTCTACACACGCTCAGGATGTCGAAGCACGCGATCATGCATCAGAGAGGTATTCCTCCCCCACAAATTTGTGGATTCGTCCATCAGGTAATCCGCAGCAATGTGGGTGGAGATGGATGTGCGACGCCCTGAAATGAGCCTGTAAAACACGTCTCTCGGTGCACAAGTTCTTTTCCCCATTCTCGGAACAATTTTGAAAATAAATGGTCTCCCAAATCCGACAAGCAGACTCCCCTTTGTATCTAGTATACTTCTCTGGATTCAAGAGCAGGTTCACGTAGGTCAAGACCCCGTTCTTGGTCTCGTCATTGATAGTCCAAGGGTTGTCCATTTCAACCCACACACACAAGGGTGCCCTTGTCCAGGTGAGGGGAAAGGAAGAGAGGCGGCAGGACTTGCGTCGGGGAAAGGAGGAGAGAGAGGGGGCCGGGACCCGCATCGGAGAAATCAAGAGATGAGGCGGGACCCGCGCCGAGGCAAAGACGAGAGAGAGGAGGGGAACTGGGACCCCCGCACGGAGGGACAAGGGAAAAGAGATCTGGATGTATAGCCATAGTGGGTGTGCTTATAACAACTTGGGGTGCGCTTGTAGCCTGAGCCTTAACAAAACAGTTTAGCACAATATTAAACAGTATGTGATAAACTACATATATCTGCCAGCAGTACTTAGTATCAACGTGCACCCAAAAAATGGTGGTGTCGAAACCCTCATTTGGTGGGAGGGCTGGGCATCAATCAAAGACACTATGACATATGATCTTACATGTAAGAACAGATTACTATACACAAGGACCAGGCAAAAGCTAAATCTGTCCTTCGCTGGTCATAGCCGTGCAGGCCTTCATCACCTACCAAACAGTACACTGCAATTGCCTGCAATGTGTAACACTAACATGTGAATCCTCACTTTGAACTTGATCGCCTTTGTCTCTAATCCATCCTGTCAATATACAGCACTTCATGTACGCGCTCTCGGGCTGTGGCTGGAGGGGAAAAATCATACTATCTGGTGCTTCTTCAATTACTATATTGTATTCTTCAACGAGCATACTTGAAGAAGGAAGTAATAGTCGGGGACCCAGCATTGCCTTTTTTCTTGTTCGGCGAGGGCTTCGCTTTCTTGGGTGGAGGGAAGACTGCATCTTTCTTTGTGAACCCGTGCATTTCAGCCGGTTGTTCAAGTATGCGCTTCTGTGCATCTCCGAGATTTGCATTTGAACACCCAAAATCTGTGTTTTTATTCATTTCCAAAAGAGCTATAGGTGAAACGTCATCCGTGGGAGTAGCAGGTTGCTTGTAGAGTACAGAATCTGATGCAGTTTGCATTGCTGTCTGTGGTGACTTGAACATAGAAAGTAAGCTGCCTTTTGCAGGATTTTGCAGTTGCGCAGCTTTCCAGTTGAAAATCATGCTTTCAGGCAAGAATTGCTTCAGGTTTTGTGCATTGAGGATTGGTTGATCTTCCCAGTCCGTACCCCACATGAAGTATACGGGTCCCTATTCATGAGCATTGACCATTTGGGAAACAATTAGAGTCAAAGACCATAAAAAGACCCAGGATTCACACAGCAGACTTTTGATTTGCACAATACTATTAACATGCGAAGTGTTACACTGCACTCGCGAACTAGCATTAGATTTTCTAGCTAATTATCCTTAGAAAACAAGAAATTTAGGAACTTGGAACAGCCCTAGATACTATCGTAGGAGCTGCTCACAAAACACGACAAATACCATCACTCATGATTGTACAAAAGAAATCTGTCACTAAAAGTCCATCATCACATGAGATCTTCAGAACATAGGTTCTTCTGGAACATCACCTGCAGAGTTTCTGGGAGTTTTGATTGTAAACGAGCTACCCATGTTTGAAGCTCTGAATCTGACAGCATTCGCTTGCAACCCTGCAAAACAAGGAAACATGAACTGAACTAAGAACATCAACTTCACGCTCACGACAAGCAAATTTTCTTCACTAGTGTCAATACAGTGTAGTAATTACAAACTTTGGGTGTTCGTGCACTAACCTCCCGACGGTGCACACGAATGTAATGGAAACTGGGTTTTGTAACAGCCCAAGCAACGGGAAGAACTTCCCGACTCTGAACAGACTCAGAAGCAGAACATTTTGTGATCAGTTACAAAGACACTGATCATCTAACATAGATAGTGTGAGATAATATTTGTTAACAAAGATGAAAAGAATAATTAATTAATCGGTGCGTGCTGGTTATCATCATCAGAGTTGATCACGAAGCAAGACCCTTGGCTCATCAGAATCTACACCTCATGACTGTCTAATATGACATAGCAGGTGACTTCACCTGGCCGTAAGGAAGACCAGTCTGCTCCCGGTCTTTTTGAAATGTTTCATGAGCTAGCTCGTCCTGCGAGTTCACAAAAGACGCTTTCAGACAGAGTTAGAATCACCTGATGAACATGACAACTCTAAAATCCAGCATCACAATGCAGCTCCTTTCACATCAAATAGCACACAGGATTCTGCAAGCAATGCAATGTCAGTAAACTTACAGCTGCAACCAAGGCCATATTGTTAGCCTTCAACCACTCACACGTTGCTTGAAATTGCTCACCGACAAACCAATCTCTGTTTCGGAATTCAACTGCCTGGGTCATAAGCCACGTAAAAATTTGAGTCTTCAAATTCCATGGACCAACGGTACTCAAATCTTAAGGTATACAGGTAGGTCACTGCAAGAGGATAATTGCTTTCCTACCACGGTTTGTATGATGATAAAATAGCTCAAACTTAACAGCTACAACAACTTCAAAATCTTACGCTCCCACCCCTGCCTGAGATTTCTGAGTTCAAATCAATCAATTCTTGAAAACTACGAGTCACCATTTCAAATCGAGGATCCAACTGGCGGCGACACCACAACACATGCGTTCGATTCTCCAAGCTTGGCTTGAATGATAGATGAAACTGCATTGTTACATCTTAGTTAAATAATCGTGCTCCAGTGTCAAAGGAATACTACATCGTAATGCAACATCAAGTAGCGTAACTCTTAATAAGAAAACATGACATATCTGTTGGTAATATTTTCTAATTGCAGTAACAAGTCAATTAATAAAACCAATACAAATGCTAAAAAAACATAAAAGAAAGAATAGAAAGAAAGAAAAACAGCAGTTACTGACACACCTACAAATGCAAAGTTATATTGAAACACAATGCACCTGAAATAGAACCACTCCAAGGGAGCCAGCTGTGAAGACTGGCTCCAAAGTACTATTGAATGATGACCATATTTCATCCCTAGTGTCAACAACATCAGGCCAAACACTCAATACTCCTCTACGAGCGCTAGGTCTTACGTGCACAACTTAGAACAAGGTTAAAACACCTGTTAAGGTCAAACACAATCTACTTCGAGCTTAATATAAGAAGAAGCGATCAAACACACAGAGGCTCAAGCACTCACAATAGATAATTCAAAGCTTCCGGACAAATCTGTGCCTGCTGAAACAAGAATGCTCTCATGTGTTCCTAGATGACAGCATCTTTTGATCTCATGCCGCTATCGTTAAAACACCTTGCCCAATTTCCTCATCATAAACAGCAAGAACAAAATGAAGCAGGCGGGTTGGGGTAAATACTGAATGTCTGTAGATAAGCTCGAGAGTTTTACGTAATCATCACTCCCAGCAAACGACAACTTGGTCCGAATTTCTCCAGGAATTGCTGTAATAGGACAGGATTTGCTACAAGGAAATCACAAAATGTGAGAACTTGAAAACTGCTACCTGCCTTGCTTGTAGATGGTAATCTAACTAATAATGGTGAATCTCATCTCAGGTTGTTTGATGAAAACAAAAGTCCTTTTCTGAAGAGCTTAGCACAAACCTACAAAATAGACCGAAGGCTTTGAAGTGGAAGATAAAGCCAGAAGGTACTGCTTGTAACCACCGCCGAACCGAAACTTTCGATGGAATTGCATAGGTAGAAGTGTCCACCTCAACACCTGCCAAACGAAATACTCTAGGTGCATGACGTTGGAAGCTCTTGCAAACTAACTGCCCTCGAATGTAACTAAGTTTAAAACCATTTCAGTCGTTCACAATTTAACAACCAATTTTTCAACCCTAATGGTGCGCAAATCTCGGGAAACCTACGTTTGGATTTGCAGTTCTCAGATTGCAACTACAATCCCAAAATCTCTTTCTGTTGAATTGAACAGGTTTAAACATAATAATGTGTAACGGCTCTTATTGCATTGAAATTCTATTGAATCCTGTGCCGGACAAGCGGAGACAGAGGACTACATGAAATCATCATAAATTACGAACTTACATGGAAAGTGAGTGCTGTAATGGCGGAGTCGATCTTCAGCTGATCGCACAGATGCTGGGTAAAACCGCCCGCACTTCAAAAGTGTGTGATCACTCCAGCCTGCACGTAAGTCAAGCCTCCACTTTCAAAGATCACGAAAGAGCTTGTTTCGATATCCTCAGCTAAAGTGAGATGTGATAATGAGTATGGTAAAAGAAATTAGCCTAGATCAATTAGAGCATTCACATATATATGTCCTAGATATTCTGTTTTCTCAAGTGCACGAGCACGATAGTCACACAAACAGAGACACTGAGCAACAGCACAGGAAAACGTACCACAAGTGCCCATCAGGACTTTCAGCTTGCGCCCCTCGTCCCGACTTTCCCCCATTTCTTCGGTGCTCAGCAACAATTCAAAGTTATCCTGCTTTATCACACCTCAAGCGCTAATCATCAATTCTAGCTCGAAAAACGCTCCACCAACCAAAGGCTCACAATCAACAGACTGGGAGCAGAGACATGGCACCGCAGGACATCAAAGTCGAAAACTCGACTCGAATTACTCAACATCTACGAGGCAGGAAAAGGAACGACCCAACAACCCCTCAGCATTGCCAGAGACTAGCTCGATCAAAATTGGCCAAATCCCAACTCGGAGCAACGAAGAGCGGCACCACCACTGGTTGAGACCGAAAACTGGCGTCTGTGAAGAATGGGCTACACAGACGACGATTATCAATAGCGTTTTCAGGGATCAGAGAAGCATTCTTACAAGGCAGTGACGTCGTGGGGGGGGGAGGGGGGGAAAGCAACGGCGGCAGAAGCAGAGCAGGCTTCGAGGAGAAGATGCTAATTATTCTGCGCAGTGCCATTCCCGGCGCCGTCTTTTGCACATTCCTCGAAAGGGGTCCGCGCCAAATCCAAGGGCCTCGCGAGGCTTGGAAATGCTTCAGGTCCTCAATTTCGAAACTACCTCTTACCATGACATTGTTGTCGAATATTTGTTTATTGACACTTGTTTCCCTTCATGTTTCTTATTCCTGTGGACTTTCATGGTACTCTTACCCTTCTTCCTTTTCCACACAGTCGGTACTGTTTATAGGTCTTTCCAACCACATTTCTATAATCATTTCTTCTTTCATTTTCTTGATATATATATATATATATATATCCATACACATATATATTGGGTGTTGCTAACTTCAATACAGTTTTCTAATGTCATCGTAACTTGCAATGCACATCACAATTTATTTTATAAAAACATTAAAATAAAAAGCATTTTGATATGGAACACAAACTTATGACAACTTGTAATGACATTGGCAAAAACTTTGATGCAAGTAGTAGATGATACATTGTGATAATAGTGGCAAAAATTGTGGTGGTATTAGCAATATTTATTATTTATATTTATCAGTATATATATATGTATATATATACATTGATAAATATTTTATTTTTATTTATTTATTATATTTAATGCAAATGTAATTTTATGTTATTTTTTTACTTCAATTTGTTATTAAAAAATTATATTGTTTTAAACATTTGACACTTGAAGAGGTATTGTATTAATTCTTTTGTTGATCTATAGATTTTTCATTAATGTCTTTATTTGAAGTGTTTGTTTCGCATTTTAAAAAATTTAAACAAAAGTATCCATTTATATCTTTTTTTGGAATGCCACAAGTTCCTAATGTCACCCTAATATCCTTTTTTCCTCTTTAGTATTTCAAATACTCTATAAGTATATATAAAAAATAATTTTTGTTAAATTACATCTTCATTGTACAATATAATAGCACTCCTATCTCTATATTCTTTTAAATATCAGCACAATACTTCTAAAGTTGTAGAACACTTTTATATACTACAACATATTTAACTATATATTCTTAAAATTTTCATTATAAATACATAATAATGATACCAGATTAAATTGAAGTGATGCATGGATAGAATACAATCAAATATGGACTAAGAATCAACTCAAATTAATTCATGTACTAGCATAGAAACAAACTCAAACAAGTATCAAAATAATGAAGTGTAGACAAGTCAGGTGCTCTGTAAGATTGGTGAGAGTCTAGAGCAAGATATGTCTTTTGAACTTGGCAATATCAAGTTTGAAGTATTCATCTGTATTTATTTATTTATTTTTAACTTTGTTGGAATTTGAAGCTTTTGGACTATCTTGTTCATGTCGGGCATGTTTGCTCTTTGCTAAGATATGCACTTCAAAGCCAACGATATGTCTAGTTGCATTACCTCTAAGTTGTATTTTTTGTAAAAAGTTGAGTCAACAATGTTTGTAATTGCATTTCTTTTATATCTCTTTTTAATTTAAAGGTTCAAAGAGACAAGTATCAATTAATAAAGTTTCTTTTTCTACATTGAAGCCATTCACAAGCATTCATGAAGGAGGTTCTTATGAGATTATGCCAAATTAATTGGTTATCTAGTTGAGAATATAACGTTTGTTTAGATCTGAGCATGCTTATATTGGCATGTCACTTGTAATAATTTACAACAAGACCATCCTAAAGTTAAAGACATCACTCTTGTATGTGAATTGATTTGAGGTGTAGTAACTATCATAGTTTACCAACCACTATCAATCACTACAAAATCACAATTTTTTTTTTTTTTTTTTTTTTTTTTTTCTATTCAAACTTGTTATAATTATATACAAATTTTGGATTGTAAGAGCTAATAACTTTTGTAAGAATCAAATATTGAGATGTTCTTTGTCTCTTAGTGACTTATAAATATAATTTCTTAATTAAAATATTTATTAATAATAGATTGTGATAAATCTTATTATAAATCAATTTATTTGATAATTTCCTTGACTATGGTAGAAACATGGATCTAATCTACATGCTTTATGTTTAAATTTACTTTGAATAAGCCAAAATTTGCAACTTTAGCAAGCATGTATTTTGTGAGCAAGATATTATTGCTTTTAATATCATAATGAATAATATTAAACTTACATCTTGTGTCTAGATACTTGAGTCCTATATATCAAAGGTAATACAATAATTGATAAAAATGTGAAGTTTGTTTTTAAAAATATTCTGTTCTGTTTCATTTCATAGAAGTTTTCTATTCCAAAAAAATCTAAAAACTAAAAATAATATAGCATATATATACCACATGCTAAGTTTATAGCAATATGAGATAAATCTTTTAATTTAGGTCATACTTCTGACCTTTTGTTATGCTTACAATTCTTTAAGATCAAATTGAATTTTGAAATCAAAGAGTTCATAATATTAGTGTTTTATAGCATAGATGCTAAATATTAAAGAATGAAGTAAATTTTTGACAATTCATGGAAACTAAAGCCACTTCTTGAAAATTGCATACATTTCTTATTATATAAATACTCTCAAAGAGTCCCTTCTTTTGCATATTTATAAATTAAGAGTTACTCAAGCTCTTAGTAATAACCTAAGATCTTCATCAAATTGCCACAATTCATTTTTGACAAAAGATCTACATATTCTAATACAAATAATCTTAAGAATTATTATCTAGTATTTTGCATTGTAATATAGAAATATCTAGCATATAAACTTTAGTGCAATATAAAACTAGAATAGAATATTCATTGAATATCAATAATTCTAGACTAAATAACATCAACAAAAAATGGCAATGATATACAACAAATTTATTGAAGAACTCATGGATTTCTTGATGAAATGTAGCATTGAAGATCTTCACAACTATTTCTCTTCCATCTATTAGCTTCTCAAGATACATCAAACCAAAGCCATCCTTTTTGAGCTTGATTTTGTTGTCATTAGACATAATTAAGACTTCTTCCTATGTACAATTCTTAATTTCTTATTGGATATTAATCTTCTTTGTAAAGGAATTGTTGTATGAACTTCTTAAGAAGTTGTTACAATCTTCTTTTATACATATTATCAATAATAAATTAGCTTTTTTAGGCTACCATATAAGATACAACGAATATGATATTTGTTCTAATGTGTTATTATTATATATTCTAAAAATGGCTTCCAAAGATTCTTACTCAAAGCCTTCAAATTTGAATTGCTTTCTTAATAAAGTAATCCAATGACAACTTCTAAAGAAATAAACACTATAACTTTTAAGTCCTTTCTTGGTGTATTTATGCTTGTCTATGATTAATTTATTTTTAGTGAATTCTTGAAAGATATCAATTGTATTTTTCTATATACTCTAACAAATGGATTGGTAAAAATTTCTAAAGTCTCTATACAAAAGACGAGTTGTCAATTAATTGATTAATTTTAACTATCTACAATTCAAAAGTATGTTTGAACAAGCATGCTTCAATCATCATAAATAATAATCTGTAAATTTTGAATTTTAAATTTAAAATTATGCCTTATAATAACTCAAAAATTATAAGGTTTCCAATTCATAAGAATATGCTCTCCAACACGTCCATATTTAATAATTGATTGTACATCAACAATATGAGGAAGCATATCAACTAATCTTTTATATAAATTTTTCATTTAAAAAAATATTTTTTCAACTTGTGAAGAGAATAAAATAAAAAATTATAGCATACTGTATTTAATCTTCTAATACTCAAATAATCAATTATAGAGAGAAAATATGATTTTGTCACAAATATAGATTTATTGTGATTGCTACCTATGTAATATAAATAAATAGAAGTAGATAAAAGTAAATTAATTTTATAATATCTTCTAAAGAAGCTTCCTAGAAGCTTTATAGACACTACTTTGACTTTATAGATGTTTGTAGTGGATTAATAGGTTAGAAACCTAGTCAACAAATTAATCACATACTACATGTGTTAGTAGCTTGCAAAACAAGTTAACTATGTGGCATCCACATAGAAAACTTGCCTTGCATGTTAAGATACATGTCGTGCAAAATTAACAAGTTTTAGAAGTCTTATAGAACATTGCTATGTAGCTCGTAAGTAGATAGTATATAAAGAGATAAGAGTAAAAATCTTCTTCATTCTTATTAATTTCTTTTTTGTTTATAGTCTAATTTCAAGAAGTCTCTAATTTTCTTATCTTTTTGCAATAGCCATTCTATTTTTTTTAATATATATGTACTTCTTTATTTTTATTTTGTCATAATTTTTTGAAAAATTCTCACTTATTTATTTTCTTTCATCAAGTTCTTATCCTTAATAAATTGACAAGAGTATACTTATAATATTAGAGTTTTATTTTTTTTATTTTTTATTTTTTATTTTTTTTTATTTTTTCTTTTTCTTAATTAAGAGCAGATTATTCCTTTCTCTTGATAAGTCATAAGAATATTTGAAGTTGTAGTGCCAAGAAGATGAGCCTCCTCAGGAGATTACAAGTTCTTTGATTGCAAGTAGGTTGTAAGAAGTACGATGTTGTCCAAATGAAATCAAATATAAAAATATAGCCAAAGGCTAAGTACAAAATTTAGACTAATTTCTTTCTTGTGCCAAGATGTATCTAATTCCTAATTCAAATTTCAAATCTAAACCTTTTCTTATTAAAATACCTATAACTCACTTATTACTAATCTAATTTAGGCAAAGTTTAGCTTGTTGAGCTTAATTCAAGCTACAAACTTCAAATTCTTAAAGTCCATAGATAAAATCTTATAGAAATGAGAGTCAATCCAAAGAAGAAAAATATTGGTTACTTGCTATAGTTGCTATTTCAAAACCTCCATCTACAAATCAGCTTGGTTTCCATTTATCACAACTCTCCTTTTTGCATTCTAAGGCTTGTTGAA